GATTTTCACTATAGGGCGCTTGCGCTTGCCAGACAGACAGAGAGAGACATAGAGACAGAAAGCGAGAAATCACCCCCCAGGGGGGATGATTACGCCGCAATCCCTTCTCCTCCATTCTCCTCTTGGGATCTTGGGCACGCACGCACACGCGCCCGGCGTGAGTTTTAAACCACGGGGTCCGGGACGTGAACCACGTTCGACTATGTGGGAGTCCAGCGACATAGCCGTTACGCTAACTGCTGGTCCCTGTCCATCACTATTAACAGGAGAATCATTCTGGGCTGGTGAGACAGGCACAGATTCCTGGTGCACCATTAGGTGGTCAACAGAAGTGCCATGTCAGGGCTGGCAGGTGGCGTGGTGGTTAAGGTGCTGGACTCCTACGTGACTTACTACGATTCAAGTCCTGGACCTGGAGGTTTGCGCGCTCTCTCTCTCTCTCTCTCTCTCTCTCTCTGTCACTCTTTGGTTGGTGCATGTGCCCTATAGCAACTTTTTTTTTTACATGGTGATGATAATAAATAAAATTTGTTAAAAAAATGACAAAAATCACAAAAGTGCCACGTCTGCTGAATCCTTGCTCCAGCTGTTCTCTGCACTGCATGCTCTGGTGACTACATATGTCAAAATTTTGGAAATCCATAATCTTAATGTCCTGAGTTCCCCATCTCTGTATTTGAAGAGATGGGTTTTTGAAGCCTGCATAGATTCAGGGTGCACCATGCTGTCTGTTCTTCCGGGTGAAACTACTTCTGTGTCTCACATAAGACTAAGTATAGGAAATGTTGCAGAAAACACCACCAGGACCAGCAGTTAGTGTGATGGCTATGTTGCTGGACTCCCATGTAGTTGACCATGACTCGAGTCCTGGACCCGGTGGCTTAAACTCACGCGTGTGCATGCGTGCCCAAGATCCCGACAGGAGAATGGAGGAAAAGGGATTGCAGCGTGGCCATCCCCCCCGGGGGGTGATTTCTCACTTTCTGTCTCTCTGTCTCTCTCTATCTTTCCGGCGAGCACACATGCCCTATAGCAAAAACCTCTCAAAAAATAAAAATAAAAAAGTAAAACACCACCAAGGGCAAGAGTGTGCAAATAAATTGTGGCTGTTAGTAGACATCAACTCAATTTAATGAGTCATGACAGCATTAAAAAAAAGATAGGAGCCAGCAGATGGCATGGAGTTTAAGGCACTGGATCCCACATGGTGGACTGCACGGTTTGAGTCCCAAACCCAGTGGCTTGAAAATCACGCCTGGTGCATGTGCATGCATGTCCCATATCCGAAGAGACTGGAGGAGAAGGGACTGCGGCATGGTCATCTTCCCTGGGGGGCGGGGTGATTCCTCACTTTCCCTCTCTCTCTGTCTGTCTTTGGCAAGCGCACATGTCCTCTAGAAAAAAAAAAAGAAAGAAAGAAAGAGGAATCAGTGATGTAGCTATTGCATGCTGTAGGAGCACGGGTTCAGTTCCGTTTCCAGGGCAACTGTACCTGTTACACGTGTTTGCCCATGAACCTGGCTGGCTGGGAAGGCTGGAACTGGGGATCACAGTGTAAGATCCTGTTGCAGGTGCTCGCTTCTCTCTGTTTCTCTGTCTCTTATGAAAGAAAGAAACCTTAAATAATGGTAGAATAGAAAAATCACAGAGCATTGCATGTCATGTTATAAAAGTATTGTTTTGTTAAACTAAACATTGCTATGTGTTTGTTCAAATTATATATGTCTGTGAATGTACTGGTTTGCTGTGTACAATTTATATTTTTATGGTTAAAAAAAAATGGAAAGCCACTGATCTGGAGTATGCATGATTTTAAAAAAAAACCCTTTATTTTGAAAATTTGCAAACTTACAGAAAAGTTGCAGGAATAGCAGAATGAACACTTTGGTCATTCACCTGGGTTTCCCAGTTATTAACATTTTGCCATATTTGCTTCCTCTCTTTCCATATTATTATTTCTTACTGACAGTTGCAAACTTGACCTTTCACCCCTAAATACCTCAGGATCGTCTCTTATTCACAATACCATGATTAAATATCAAGAGCTTTATCGTTGATAGGATACTGTTATTTAAAAGTACTATATATTGATTTTTTTAACAATTGTCAAAATATTTTTTTTCGGCATAGTCCTTTCTGTGTGACAGACACTGCACTTAATGCCAAGTTCCTGAGTTCTAGGCCTAAGAGGCAAATATGACTTGTTTTCTTTTCTTTCTTTTTTTTTTTTTTTTGGAGAGGTTTTTGCTATAGGGCGCGTGCGTTCACCAGACAGACAGAGAGAGACAGAGAGACAGAAAGCGAGAAATCACCCCCCAGGGGGGATGGTCACGCTGCAATCCCTTCTCCTCCATTCTCCTCTCGGGGTCTTGGGCACGCACGCACACGCGCCCGGTGTGAGTTTTTTAAGCCACCAGGTCCGGGACGTGAACCGCGGTCGACTACGTGGGAGTCCAGCGACATAGCCATTACGCTAACTGCTGATTCCCAACAATTGTCAAAATTTTTTTTTAGGCAGCCATTTTTTTGTTCCTGTTGGTGGAAAATGAGGTTCCTGGAGTGTAGCTAATTTTCATCTGGTTGCAATAATCACAACTCTAGATCTGTTGATTGATTTAAATGTTTCCAAGTAAACTGGCTCTCCAACTGTCTTGCTTTTCAAATGTGAGAATCAGATGAGGTCAGAAATGTTTGCTCCAACTGTGTGTCGTGGCCATGGCAACTGAGCGTGGATCGCGAGAATCCAGGAGACCAATCTGTGCGTTTGGGTAACCACGGGAGTTCACAGCAGACACACGGCCTGGATTACTGAGGGACAGGATGCTGCCTCAGGAGGAATGTCCTTGCTTCCATTCGGAGCAGGTTTATGAGAGTCGGGCTCAAAGTGCTGCTCCAGTTCTGCCTGGGTAGTTAGGTGGCCAGTTTTTTAATGAACATTTGCTTGGCTGAATATTTTTGAACAAGTATCAACACTAAAATAACCTCCTGAGAAATAGATTTTTATAGAACTCCCCAGTCCAATAGAATTCTGGGAACGTGGGAGCTACTTCACTGCCAGACAGATCCAGAGTTCCCTGAAATGAGTTCCCAGTGAGGTTGTGGCCATATAAGTTCTCATGAGAGAACACGGCGTGAAGATTTCTCATTCTGAGTCCACTAAGTCTCTCACACCATCATTGGCTGGTGAGTACCTTGGGAAATATTAGGTATCATGGGTTCTGTTAAGTAAAACCACGTGAACCAGTTAGGATGGGTTATGTTAGGCTGTGGTAACAAACAGCCCCCAAACTTCAGTGGTTTACTGATGGTTTATTTCTTGCTCATGCTACATGTCCAATGAAGGTTCACTGGGGGAGGGGAGGCTCTGCTCATGGTAGCTACTCAGAGACCCAGGCTGACAAAGGTTCTGCCACCTTAGGACATTGTTATCCAAACTCAAGGATCTAGGGTTTGCCACAACAGAGGAGTGCTTGGGAGAACCACACACCACTCTCAAATGCTTCCATGCAGATGTGACACACGCTGCTTACATTTCATTGGCCAAGAAAGTCACATGGTCACACTTCACTAGACAAGGAAGTATGATTCCTGCAGTGCCCAGAAGAAGACAGCTGGGAACACCTCCCAAGTAATAGTGCCTCTAAAGTAGTGGCTCACTTGGAAGAATCAATCAAACCCACACTCTGAGAACTGTCAGGAAACATTGAGATTTGAGGGAGAAATCTGGTGAGCTATCTGCTAGCCCTCAACTAGGCTTCTGAACATCATATTTGGTCTCGCCAATAGGAACGCTACAGCTGCCTTGTATTGGTTCCTTCAAGTAAGGGGACAGAAAAGGTACAGGCAAGGGACCAGCAGTTAGCATAATGGCTATGTTGCTGGACTCCCATGTAGTCGACTGCGATTCGAGTCCCGGACCCGGTGGCTTAAACTCACCCCGGGCGCGTGTGCACCCGAGATCCCGAGAGGAGAATGAAGGAGAAGGGATTGTGGCGTGGCCATCCCCCCGGGGGGGGTGATTTCTCGCTTTCTGTCTCTCTGTCTCTCTCTGTCTGTCTGGCGAGTGCACGCGCCCTATAGCAAAAACCTCTCCTC